TTCAGTACAGATGGCAAAATAATTTCAGTCCTTTAAGGAACTCACATAATGCATCCTAATTACTAGATGCATAATTCTGCACATAGTAGCTGCTCAAAATTGCTAATATATTAAAACATACACCAATATCTTCCACCTGAACACTCATTCCTTTTTAAACAGGGAATAGAGAACGCCTAAATTAATTTCCTACTCCGCATATTGGTGTAACTCTGAAAACAGAGCTTGCCAAAGGGCAGGTTTTATGAATACAGTTTAGGAAGACAAGAGCTGATTAGCCTCTGAAATGCACCCTCCCTTGACAGTAATATGCTGCTCCAGTGCTTCAGCATGTGTGGGTGGGGGCATCCAGTTCCATATAACACAAGGCAAAGTCCAGGAGCAGCAGTCCTCACCTGCTTTAGGACATCAGCTAACCACTCGTCAGGGGCTCTTAGGAAGAAGCTTTCCCCATCCAGTAATTTGTATATGGCAGAGTCTTCCCAACATCCCTCCGAAATGGCTGGTACTGCAATGTCAACAGCAGGACTCAGCTGGCTGATGGCTTGATCTGAGGTGTCAGCTAGACCACTCACAACACCTTAAGGATTCTGGCACATACACGGGTGTAACCACCCCATTTACATCAATGCCATACTGTTCTAGCACCTGCAGCACTTGCATTTGACAGCTGTTTGAAGTCCAGGCCATGCTGTTTTGCTTCACAGGAATAGGTACAAATAACAGAGCAGCATGCTAGCTAGTCTGACATTAAAAGAAACCATTAGTAAATTGTACTTCCCTCACCAGCATCTCATTCCACCCAGGAGAGCTTGATTTTGCAATATTTGAAAAACAAGAAAAGCCCCCAGATTACACTGAATATGGGAGAATGCGCAGAATTGAAGGCAGAGGAGATGGACGTGCTGTGCTTCCAGAACCACTTCCTGCAAGTTCAGTATCAGAGTTTAACTGAAGTCAAGGAGGCAGCATTCGAGTCTCTTCCATTTCCTTTCAAATAAGTCATTTACTGTCTGAGCTTCTTTAAACTGTGTAATGTGTTGATCAAAAATAAATTCAGATCACTCCTGTGCTGCACTGAGCTCCCACTCAAAAGAAGCGACAACAAGCGACACAAATCTTTAAAATATGTAGGTGGCTCTGCTTATTCCCCATTCCTCCCCTTCTGCCCTGCAATGCTCCTCTACTGCTACTTCCTGTATCAAGACTTCAAAATTCACCTATGCTGGCAGTGGACAGGAAGAGGCAGACACAATGGTGACAATCTCCAGAAAAACATAAGGACCACAATACATCTTCTCTGCAGAAGAAATACAAGTCCTTCTCTACTCCACTCACCTTCCAGCCCCATGCTGGATAATTTTTGATTAACAGTGTGTGAAGGGGCTTTCCTAGTAGAAATATACTCATCTTGTATTATTTTAAAGTCAAGGAGCCACAGAGCAAGATTGGGTTTCCACCCAATGAGCTCTTTTTGGTATGTCCCTTCAGGTCTTTCCTTGCCGGAGGAGGAACTGGGTACCATGGGCTAATGCTACAGGATTTACCACAGGAAAGCATGTCCCATTGCAATACAGTCATTAGCACAGTGCCTGGCACAGAGCTGCACCAGGGATCTGCAACAAAACCCAGGATGAACAGATTTCTCATTAGAGGTAAAGTAGAAAAAAATTCATCCCTTGCTCACTGTCATTGCAGGGCTCTGCTTAGAGCTAGGTAAAAAAAACCCCAGGACCTCAGCAGAGCAGTTCTAGCAGCTGCTGCTACAGCAAGACCACAGAACCAAGGAAGCTGCAGTGGTGCCAGGGGACATGAATGTAGATGCACTAAGACTAACTGTCTGCTTGATTAGCAGAGTATATATGTCTGAACCAAGAAAAAAAATGCACCCAAGAAGGAACAATCCTTCTTTTGGGGAAAAAAAGCAGCATGAACAGGAGAGAAAAGAAAGGAAGGAAAGGCTCCTATTTGGCAAAAGCTATTCAAAAAATAGATTTTTACCTGCATACTATTCCAATGCAAGAGATACCACATCTAAGCCTATAGCTTTCTGTTAATGGGAAAATGCAAATCTATCCCTGATATCAAGCACTGTATTACAGCCAAGGTAAACAGCAGAAGGCAAGGGAAAAAAACACCTCTCTATTAGCCCCAGGATACTAAGCCTATTTGGAATACCACACAGCAAGGGGTTTTCCAAAGCTGAGAAGCCAGTTTGAGGTGCCTTTACTAGCAATTCGCTACAAATTCATTTCTTTGCAGAAGTGGATGTTGTTATCCAACTCTTCCATTTCTCATCATGGGCAAGTTTGAAAATAGCAAGCAGCAGTGCCCTTTGCTGGCCAAAGCCAAAGCCCACCAAGCCAAAGACCTGGGGCGTGGGGAAGCAGGGAGTACCATGAGGGAGAGTCATACAAAATCTGGAGTTTCTTTCCATGTCACTAGGTTGGATCAACTTCCACGTGGCTTTTTGTTTTAACTTGCTGTCAGCAGCTCTGACATTCCTAATACTTGCTACCCCATTCCTGAATTTATTACCAACATTTAAGAACTATTAGCCCACAAGATTTCACCTCACCCCAAAGCACCTGCTGGCAGACCGTCCCAGAGCTGCCTCATGCTCTTACACCCCAGACCACCTTGCCCTTTCTCCACCAGCATCCTACAGAGTTGTACTGTGCATCTTCTGTGTGTACGACAGGGCAGGACAGCAGGACATGGGCAGTCTCCCACAAACAGAAAGCATACTGGTAAGCACAGCAAGAAAGGTGGGGTTTGTTTGACAGATTCTCATGTTTTAACACATCACAGCACTTCAAGTTAGTGAACACTGCTTAATCAAATACAAGTAATTGACACAGAAGACCTAAAATATGTAAGATGCCCGCCTCATTTTTAGGGAGTAGACCTGCCAGCACTTTGCCCCACAAGAGGGCAGAACCCCATTAAGCCATGCTTCTAACTGGAGCTAGAGGCACTCTAAAATCACAGAACCACAGAATAGGTGAGGTTAGAAGGGACCACGGTGGGTCATCTGGTCCAACCGCCCTGCTTAAGCAAGGTCAGCCTAGAGCACATGGCACAGGGTCATGTCCAGACAGTTCATGGCACAGTCATCTAATACTATGCTAATAAACTGTCAAGCACACAAATTAGGGCTTATCACCACACTAGAGTTTAAATATTTACCCTTAAAAACCCATGTAACAGAAGGTCTCCCCTCTGTTTCAGTCAAGAGAAAATTTCAAATTGGAAAAAACAATTCAAGCTAAAAGAGACTTACTGTGCTCACTCAAACCTTCCTCTGCTCCAGCCAGGGCTCACATCTAAGCCAGACCAAGTTGCTCAGGCCCTTCCCCAGTTCAGCTCTCCCAGTCTCCAAGGACAGGGAATCCACATCCTGCCTAAGTGCTTGTGCCATTGCATGGCCACTCTCCTGGCAGAGGATTTTTTCCTTATGGAGACAACATTTGTCATATTATTCCTTTTGTCATCTAACAGTCCATGGCTACTACCTTTCAACTGCTTTTGCTTTCCTCTTCCCTCTACTTTTAGGAGGGCTTTTATTTTTTCAAATGCTATGCAAAATTTCAAAATCACCCAACATTCAGCTGAAAGTTACAGCTCCAAGAACTTTTTCTGGAATACTTCCCTACCTGCAGCATTTGTAGCTGAACCCCCAATGTACTGAGCTATTCATGCCTTCAATCCCACCAAACTTTCTAATCTTACTTCTGTAAATTCACAGTGGACTTTTATTCAGTGATGCTCTACGTCTATTTTCTTATTCATTACTTCACCCTCAAAAATTTCACTGCGCATAAATCAACTTCATTTAGATAAATCAAAGGAGACAACAGAAAACCAAGAAATTTTTAAAACCTTACTAGCAGGTTAGGCTAGATATTTTTGTTAGTGGTAAGCAAAAAAATATGAATTTCACAAAGCAATTCTCTTAGTAAAGAGTCAAAGCTACTGGTGAAGAATCCATTTCAACTGCAATCACAATATCATCCTTCAAATTAATATTCTAGACCATAAAGCCCGAATGCAACAAAAACTGACCAAAACACTGCAAGAAACAGAAAGAACAATCAGTGGGGGAAAGGACAGGAATGAAGATGCTAAGAGAGTGTAGATCTGAAAAGTGAATTCTCTTGCTTTCTTAATAGGCATTTTCACATAACTGGTTTGACATTTAGGAAGCAAGACGGCCACTGATACGGCAATATGCAATAGCCCTGCTTTAGGGAAAAAAGAGATGGTACAGAAAGATGTAAGGACTAAGGCAACTCAAACCATGCCCTTTTGTTTCACGGCATGAAATACCCGTTTTCTTTTCAAATTGTCACACACTGGTACGAGGTTATCATGCTATCACAAAGTTATCATGGTATCTCAGCATGGAGACAAAACAAAATTAGATCCACAATCTGTTCTTAGGACATAAGCAAGGGGGTAATAAGTTTCTGCTCTCAAATATGAAATCAGTCATTGTGACTTCATCTGTAAGGCAAGCTTTTTCTATTAAGCAACTCTGAATGGTTCAGTGTGCAGCAGAAGCCAGTAACTCTGGACTGCCCTAGTGCATTTCAGTATCATCCTAGGATAACAGAAGACATGTTACAGCTGACTCTTTCAAGATCAGCCCAGAAAGAACAAGGACATTTTAAATAATAAACTGTCACCTCAGCTTTATTCAAAACACTTTGTAAGTAAGGAGCAGATTGTGCAAACAGTATACAAAAATTATCCCCCAAGGGCAGAAGAGAGAAAAAAAAGCTCAACAACAGTGATAGTGACTCCCCCAGCAACCTATTCTTGAAGCTGTTTTAAGAGGTGCTGGAGATAACCTCTTTAAAAAGGACAAAAGAGCAATGGAGCAGAAGAGGCAGAAGAAGAAAGGTCAGGTCCCTACAGACTGGGGTCTCCAGCACATGCCTGCACTTAGGTATTTCAGAAGAACAGCCAGGGTAGTGGTCCCCAAGAATGGCACTTACTTCCTGGCAGTACTGAAGAATCCCTTCTTTCGTCCCAATGCAGGTCTTTGTGCCAGAGGGGTCTGATTCCCACTTTCCGCTCTGCACATTCATGTGCATGTTGAGTTTGCCACAGAACATGGCGATTTGAGGCTCTGCCAGCAACCCAGCATTTCCATCAGCAGGTACCTGGAAGGAGAAGAAAAGAAAGGTTTTAATCTCACATCTGACATTTCAGTCCATCCAAAGCAGGAACAGCTCAAGCAACCCTGAAACAAGCTCTAAACTCACCCACCCATTGCAGCAAAGGCTGAAATGTTTGATTCAGGCAGATTTGAGAAATGTAAATAGAGTCTTCATAGAAATCCAGATTACAACAGTTTAATACAGATTTTAAAGCTGTAACCCAAGATTGTCTTCTTACCAAACTGAGCTCAACACAGAACAACAAGCACACTTGGAGCACAATTACAGAAATTTAATTTTCCAGACATACCTAGTGTACTGGGAGGAAGAGTTCACTAACACCTACACAAAAGAGTAACAAGCAAGTATTCCCAAGAGTTTCCTAAAATCCCCACAGTGTATCTTTTTTCAAGCCCATCTTGTAGTTCATCTAGATGTTGAGCACACAGGCTGTATTTTATCATGCCTTATAAAGCAGCTCCCACCTAGCCTTTGGTTGGACTGAACCTTAAAATGCAGTGAGGCTGGGGTGGCATCAGAATGAGATTGCTAAAAGTCTAGCTCACAGCAGAGAATTACAGAATACCATCTTCCCAACAAGCATCAAATTGCCAGGATTAAGGCAGGTGCTCCTCCTCTTCTCCCACAGGCATGCTGCCCCTGATGCCCCAAACCATGTGCTGCTGGGGTACAGAGCCACCCTCAACATGAGTTTAAATCTCCCCCATGGGACCACAGCACTATGGCAAACCAACATCTTGCTCTTCCACTCCTCTGCCCTCCTCAGAGCAGCCAGCCTCAGAAGGTGTAAGCTTCACTTCCATTTTTCATCTGAGAAACAAAGCAAAGAGAAATCTCCTCGCTCGGTTAGGCTCCTCAAGGGAAAAGTCAATTGCTCCCATTGCCTCTCATGCTCCAAAGGCAAGCCCATCACATTAAAGATACAGCAGAGTATGCACTTAGGTTTAAATACCTATTTTTAACTTTTAATCTTCTGGATTCCTCTCAGGAGGAAAATTAAAAACATTTGAAAAATTAATGAAAAAATAGAATGGTTTTACAGGAGGTTTGCAAACCCTGTGTATTAGTTCCCTCACTCTTTGTTTAAATGAACACAAGCAAGACTTCATGAATTTTATATGCCTACATTAATTTGGAAAAAAAAAAACCCCACACTAAGAAGCATTGGAGGAGTGAACATTTAACTGCCTGAACACACTGGCTTAGCATTATTAGTGCAAATGTGACAATTAAAACAAGTGTTTCATTAATTTTTTTAGAGACAGGAGAGAACATTTATTTTCCTCAGGATGTTAACATGCTATTGCAGTTTACCTTAAAAAAAATAAATAAAAAGCAGGAACACCTCAACTGGCAAAGATTTCCTTCAATTTCTCTTCTGCTACGAAACAAGTAAGCTCTGTACAATTAACAGTCAACTAGCTCTGTCCTCCCACTGAGTAACAGGAGATAACAGGGATGGCACCATGTCTGCCTTGCCTTGATCAGTAAAGGTACCATATGCTTACTCCTTCTAACACCTTCAGAAACTCTAGAGAGGAATTCAAACATGACACATGTATAACAGTATGCAAAAAAATCTCCAAAGTCATGATTTTACTTTTCTTTAAAGATGTAACATAACCCTATCAACATTTCAATAAAAACAGAAATTACTCATTCCACAGGTGATATGTGAATGAACTATTCAGAGTCAGCTCCTCCAACTGAGATCTCCATTAAATTACTAAAGCACACAGGAGTCACACTGAGCTAGATTTTTGCTATATTTTTCTCCTGGCTAGGACAGCTAGAGCTGGGGGAAATAAAGAGTGCTAGCAAATTAACTCTAACAACACAACAACTTACACTGCCTGCTTAAAGTATCATTCCCTTCAGAAAAGCCATGACACCTCCCAGCTTAAAGAAATTACCAGAGCAAGTCATGATCACATTTAGCCTTCTATATTTTGAGTTGACAGGACTGTGCTAATAACTGCTTGGCATAGCACTTCATCATATTGATTAGGACAGCTAAATGTTTTTAAATATTAAGAAATACTGGAGCAATTATCAGACACAGTAAACTGAACTTAAGTATTTAGACCACAGAATCAAAGAATCGTTTAGGTTGAATAAGACCATTAAGATCATCAAGTCCAAATGTAAATCTAACAGTGCCAAGTTAAATCAAAATAAAAGCCAAAAATAAAAGATAAAATTTAGCTGAGGTAACAACTAATTTCAAGAGAGGTCTCTACTCTGCACACGTTCCTCATAATGGAAAACCAAATTAAATATTACTGATTTTAAGAGACAACCAACAGTAGTTTGATCATAAAAGGGACTAACAACAGTATTTTGAGGGGAGGAGTGGGAAAATGATAAAAAGATAAAAAAACAACTCAAAGAAAAGGCAGGAGAGTGAAATGTTAGTAAAACCAAATGCAATTATAAGCTATTTGTCCCACACATACTGTCACATTTCAAACACATGAATTCATGAATCACTGGTCACATCACAGGTATATCCAGCTAAAATAGGTTAGCTGGTGATGAATTCTATCTAGCACTAAAGTTTTCTTCATAACCAATGGCTTAATTCATTTACATTCACTCCCTGACATGAAAAAATATTACAATTCTATTAAATAATCTAGGAGTAATGATCTACACAGCTAAGCAGCTTCTATACAGCAATGCTGCATAACATAAAGCTATAGTCCTGTTTGTTACAATAATGCCTGTAGTGGCAAATCCCTCCTTGACTAATCCTAAAGCTCTCAGGCAGATTAGTTTCCCAAAGAATAACTCACACAACACAAATTACATTAACAGCAACTATTTGCATTATTAGTATTCTGCAAAAGTAAAAGCTCCAAGCATATTAATGGAACTGTAAATCACATAGTATTTTGTCTACTTTGCACATGACCTCGAAGAAGTAGCACGTGCTTTTTTCCTGCTTCTTGGCAAATCATTAAATAACAGATCAATTAACACATTGTCTCAAAGTAACTCCACACGTTATGCTCGGGTTTTCTCAGTATAGCCAGTTTTCAAACACCAAGAACACTATTCATCACATCTACATGACATCTGGATCAGAGATCAATTTCTAGAATGGAAACTACCCAAATCTGAAAAATCTACAGGATTCTGCAAAAAAATTGCCTCAATTCATCGCATACTATTTAGAGCTCTGTGTAAATACATTACTCTAATACGTCACAAGACGTTCAAGCACCAGCCTGACATCTTTTCATATAGAAACAAAATAACTAACTTAAAGAAGTGCAGCAAGGGTACAAGTTAAGAAAGGAAGACTCCATGGCTGATAATAGGGTCACCCCTAAAGAACTCACTCTTTAGGTGAAAGTATTACACCTAAACCCAATCAACATTAAAGACTGGAATCAGAAGACAACTCTAAGACAAAGCCCATCAGGTATATAATTGCTTTGGATATGGAACAAAAGGGGACACAATCGAGCTATTTTCCCCTCAGATTGGTCAAATTAGGACAAAATAAGCAATGGTCACCTGAATGACATTGTTTCGTTACTGGAGCGTGTCTTTGAAAATAGGCTCATTGCATAGTATTTTTCTGTTTGTTTTGAGAGGAAGAACATTCATTACATGTATTTATTTGATATGAAAATATTGACTTACATACAATACAGGGAAAAAAAAGAAACCATGCAAGCATTAAAAGATTAAATTGCAGGGAATCTGTTTCCTTTCCATGTTAAGATGCAGTACAGAGATACCTCTGCTCTCCTGTCTTCCAGGCCTGGCAATTTCATACATCTATTTGAGGAGAGATGCAAAAGATCTTTAGTGCATCCATACACTCCACATTCACAGAGCATGCTGGCTTCCATTTATACAATTTTTGAGACACTCAAAAAGGATTTTGGCAATAGAGTACAGAGGACTGAAAGAAGTTTATCTGATTACAAAACTAAAATAAGGAATACCTTTCATTAACAAAAAAGCAGAGATTTTTAGCTCACTGTGATTCCATTTTAACATCAAAAGACCTTTTCCTATCAAACACCATTACTTAAGACAGAAAGTACAGCTCTCTGCCCATCCACTCTCTCTGTCATTGCTTTCTGCAATTACAAAAACAATTAGTGTATTTGCTAATAGCCCTTCATAGTCCCTATCTCAACAACCAATGTTGGGCTTTTTCACAACTCAGGTTATATTCAGAAAATGTAGGCTGCAACGTTTTACCCCAAAGAGGTTTTCCATCAAGGAACCAAAGTAATACAACTTCACTCCAAATAGCTCCACTACTAACTTATAATTAAGGACTACAATATATTATGAAAATAAGCAGCAGATCTTGTATGTGCTGTTATTAAACATCAAAACATAAAAAACAAACACTCCCAAGAAGTCCCTAAGACAGCTTCTATGATTTGTTTTCCTCTGCAAACACTAACCTGAAGCCACTTTCAAAGTGTATTTAATTTGTATTCATTGCTTCATTTGCAATTACTTTCAAAGAGAAGACATTCAGTAGCAAACTCCATATCTCCAACTCACTCAACAACAAATATCCTCCTTATTTTAGACAATTAAAACAATTCCTCCCTGCTTTCCATTTTTCGTGCTAGCCCCAGTTCAGACCTTCAACCGAAAAGTCAGCAACTACATTTGAAGGTTTAACAACTTCTGCCAATAATAAAAGTCAAAAGGGGGTTCAAATAATGTAAAGAATTAAGCATACTGAAGTAATGGGTCACCCTTCAATTCATAGCTGTGCTTCTTCCACACATTTACACCATATTTGAGTCAAAATTTGAGGTTTTTTTATTAACTAAAGCAGCACTAATTTGCATGCAGAGCTGTTTGCTTCCTCTATGACTTAACAAAATATATCGTATCTTTGAACTGAGGCTGTTCATAACTGGGTTTTCCTATAAAGAATACAGGCAAAATAAAAGGACTGTAAAAGGACTGTCTGCTTGTCTTACACATTCAGTGAGCAA